GTAGATACAACATTCTTGTAGCACAACCTCAAAACGCATCTGCAGCACTTGTCTCTGCAGCAAAGACTGTATGGCTCTGGACTAGCCTTTCAGCTGGGGGCCCCCCTCTCAGTCATAGCGAATCAATACCACTAGGAAAAGAAAATTACAAGACTTCTAAATTTCAACATGGAAATGGATCTGCTGTTCATAATTCAAACATTTCCTTTACTGGTCAGTTTTTGGCACCTAATCCACATGCGCACAAAAGTGTGGTGCCGCAGGGGAAGAAGGCAAAAAAGTTGATGAAAAAAAACAGTCAACTAAAGGGTGTGAAGAACACGAAAAGGAAGGGTAACATCTCAAGTGGCCCACCTAGTAAGAAAAGTAAGAAAAGTAAGAAAAGTCACAGTGGAGTTGCAAGTCATGAATCTTGTTCCGGTTCCGGGCAAGCTAAGACTTGTCCTAACTGCAAGCAGATCCATTTGAGGAAGTGTAATGAGGCACGAAGTTGTCACCATTGTGGAGCTACAAGGCATCTGAAAAGTGATTGTAAACAGTTAGGTGGATCCATAAGAGATGGTGTTGGCCAAGCATTGTCCGGAGGGAAAGGTACTACTTGCTGTGGAACTGGAACCACACCACCTAGCGTCCCTCAGATGACATGTGGATCCACTCCAGCTGCTTTTAGTCAGGTCATGGGGTGTGGAAGTAGTCTTGATAAGGGCAAAGCTGGATCCACTAGCAATAATGTTAGGCAAGCCATTTGTGGAGGAAACTGTCATGATAGTAGTATATCTGGAGACCAGACACTAAGCTTCACTCATATGGCAGTTGAAGTGGCAAATCCATATGTTTCTCCCCAGGTCATGTGTGGCCGAGTGTCGGGGCATCAAGAAAGGAATTGCCAACAGCTGACAGGTGTATCCACTAGAGACGATGTAAGCCAGGCCAGTGGAGACCACCAGGATATGAGCATATCGATGAGTATATCTAGATTCCCCACACCGAGTGCCACTCACATAACAGGTGGGTCCAGTCCATATGTTACTAGTCAGGCGATGAGGGGTGGAAATGAACAGAATATGGGTGTATCCAGAGCCCTGACATCGAGCATCACTCAGCAGACATGGGTAACTTGTAAGGCCCTAACACCAAGGTGTTACCGCTGTGGAGAGTTTGGGCATCTGAGAAAGGATTGTCAACTTTTGACAGGTGGATCCACGAGCAGAAAGAAATGTGATGATAGTAGTATATCTGGAGAGCCGGCACCAGAGATCACTCACATAGCAGGTGAAAAGACCAATCCAGATGTTCCTGAGCAGGTTACGGGTGGTGGAGATTTGGGTTATAAACAAAGGGATTATCAATCATTGACAGGTGGATCCATTAGAGATGATGTAAGCCAGGCCATGGGTTGTGGACACTATCAGGATATAGGTATATCTAGATCCCCCACGCAGAGTGTCACTCACATAACTGGTGGCTCCCCTCCACTTGTTGCTAGTCAGGTCATGGGTGCTAGAAGCTGCCATGATATGGATATATCTGGAGCCCGGACACCAAGCATAACTCACCAGACAGGGGTGCCAAGTAATGCCCGAAGTCTGAGGTGTTACCTTTGTGGAGAGTTTGGGCATCTGAGAAGGGATTGTCAACTTTTGACAGGTGGATCTACTAGTGGTAATGTTAGCCAAGTTACGGGCAGAGGGAACTGTCATGATAGTAGTATATCCGGAAACATGACACCGAGTGCCAGTCACATTGCAGGTGAAGTGGACAGTTTAGATGTTGCTAATCAGGTCGCGGGTGGTGGAGAGTCGGGGCATCAGCATAGCGCCTGTCAACAATTGACAAGTGGATACACTAGAGATGATGTAAGCCAAGACATAGGTGGCGGAAACCACCAGGATATGGACGTATCTAGTTCTTCTGCACCAAGTGTTCCTCAAATAACTGGTTGGTCTAGTCCAGATATTGCTAATGAGGTCATGGGCGGTGGAAACCTCCAGGATAATGGTATATCTGGAACCCTGACACCAAGCGTCACTTACCAGGCAGGGGTTGCTAGTGGTGCCCTAATGCCGAGGTGTTACCATTGTGGAGAATTTGGGCATCTGCGAAAGGATTGTCATTTGTTGGAAGGTGGAACTACTAGAGATGATGTTCGCCAGGCCATGGGTGATATAAACCACCAGGATATATATATATCTAGATCCTCCACACCAAGTGTCTCTCACATAGCAGGTGGGTCGTGTCCAGATGTTGCTAGTCAGATCATGGGTGGTGGATACTACCCCGATATGGGTATATCTGGAGCCCCAACACCAAGCATTACTCACCAGACTGGGTTGGATGGTAATGCCCTAACACCAAGGTGTTACCGTTGTGGAGGGTTCGGGCATCTGAGAAAGGAGTGTGATTTGTTGACTGGTGGATCCACTAGAGAAGATCTTAGCTTGTCCATGGGTTGTGGGAACTTTAATGATAGTAGTATAGCTGGAGAGCCGAGACCGAGCTTTGTGACTCGAATGGCAGGTGGCATGGCCAGTATAGCTGCTGTTAATCAGGTCATGGGTGGCGTAAATCCCCAGGGTATGGCCATAGCTAGAGCTCCTGATACCACCCTTCATTCACTTTATCACATGCAACATTATATGCCATGAGGGGGAGTTACAGGTAATATTCTTGTTGCATGTTACTTGGAATAAGGCTTTGTGGTTGTTGTTCTTGCTGTTGCTGCTGCATGTTGCCTATTAAATTATTTGTTGATTGGCTACTTTGTTCGCTAACGTTACATGATTGGAAATTGTATATACTTTTCATAAAATGTTGCACTCTATTTGTGCAAGGTCTTTTCTGTGAAAATTACTCCCTTGTCCCTTGATAAACCTTACATTTACCTTATTGTGACTTAATTGGTTACCCCAAAAGAGAGAGTATGAATTTTGCACAATCATGCACGATTTTTCTCAAGAGAAAATGATGATAATAATAATATGCCAAGTGTAGGGGTGGTTTACATTTTTGGGCCAAAACTCATCTTTTGGATGTGAAGCAATGACACTATGCATGCATGTTTCATATTTGGACTACCACATCATGCCAGACCATATTAGGGTAACCAACGCTGTATTTTGGCGTGGTTAGGTGCCCCGAAGGGAACTGGCACGTGGTGTGTTCTTTGGAGACTATGTCACATACTTGGGTAGTGATGATCCTTGTATTTGACTTTGCCCAAATCTGTCGCGGGTGGCGGTAGGCCTGACACTGTGTGGTGAAAAGAATTTGGTTTTGTATCAATGGAATTGATATTGAAAATCAAAGAAGTTATTTTCATACCCTTTGTGGGTGGGTGTACAGGCTTATTTGGCCATCTTGATGATGTGATTTGGCAATTACTCCCTCCATGTGGATTTAGTTGTCCACTATTCTGTTATCAGTATGTTTGGAATTAGTTGTGACTTGCCTTATTTAGTAATGAAATTTGGAGGAAGTGCCAATTTTATCCTGGAAATGAAATAGACTTATACCATAGTATTGAAAGGTTAAATTTCCACCCCAGTTTATACCATAGGATTTAGTCTCCTCTCTCTCCTTCGCGCATGCTTTTTATGTGCACTTCGTGTATCTTTGTTTGCATACTTCTTGTTTTTTTCACACTTCTTCCTCTATCTTTATGCTTTTTTTTGCTTTGAGCTAGTCATGACTTCATTATATTTAATACGGAGTACATTTCTATGCAGTAAATACTCTTTATATGTAGTAACTACTCTAGTTATTGTGTTTAATATGTATGACTTGCTTTAAATTGACATGATTAATTGCACTGCAATATATTATGTATATGTGTGTATACACCAACTTCGCCTTTTGGTCACCCTCCTCTCGCGTTGCCTTTTGCCTTAAAAAGGCCCTCTTGCCTCTCGCCTTTCAAAACTATGCTTTGTACATGAATGGGAAGGGATTAGTGGTACAATTTTGTCAACTACTTCGTAGTATTTTAGCCCGTGCCATGCGCAGGATGGAACGAATTTTTTGTTTCGATTTTTTAATTTTTCTTAGCCACACCATTTTTAAAAAATTCGGACAAAATAAAATATCAACCTTAAAAGTTAAAATAATAATAAAATATACTTTCTTCGTCCCACAAAACCTTTCTGGTTCAGACTCTTAAATGATTTAACGAGATTAATTTTGGTGTTGACCTTTCAAAAATGCCCTTGGATGTGATGGTAAAATAGGATATGATAGGTAGATTAATAGTGAAAAAACTGTGATGTGATAGACATGTTAAAAATTAATAAGGATAAAAATAATTTTTTAACAGAAATGAGAAATATTTTTGGGACGGATGAAAAAAGAAAGGTGGAAAGTTTTGTGAGACAGAGGGAGTATAATTTTGCTAATGAAAATTATACTACATATATTTGAAAATCAACATGTCAGATTTTTTTTTAAATTAGAACATTTTGAAAATTAAGGTATATAACATTTTTGTGTCATGTTATAAAAAGAATACCAAAATCATTTAAAACTAATATTTTCAATTTGACTTTTACCCCACTCACTAAATTATAATATTGGTGAAATTATTAAGAGCATTAACCACTTCGTTGTTATATATTTTCACAATGATATGCCTTTAATTTTTGTCTTTGATCTAGCTTAAACCCTCATTTACATCAATTACCTCTGCTTTTCTAGGTTGAAAACATCTATTCCCTCCGTTCACAGTTAAATTTCTCACTTTCCTTTTTTGTTCGTTCAAAAATAAATATCCCATTTCCTTTTTAAGAAACCTTTTCATGGTAAAAAGACTTTATTACCCTCCCTACTCATTCTTTTGTTCTTTCTCCAGTCCAGGGCAACAACCACCCCCCACTCTCCTTATTCTTCTCTCTTTCTTTTCTTCTTCCTCTTTCTTTCAATTCTGTTTTTTTCCTTTTCCTCATTCTTTCTTCTTTCCCCACTCTTCATCCTCTTTCCTTTTTTTCTTTTTCTCTCTTTTCTTCTCTCCCGTTCACCCCATCCTCTTCTTCTTCTTCTTTTTCTCTCTTTCTTTCTTTTCTTCTCCCTCCACCATGCAATGTCATCATTATACACAAATCTGATGAAGAAGTATTATATCTCTACGGATCTGATGACTCCAATCTAGATCTTAGACAAAGATGGAGATGGCGACATCCTGTAGTGATGTCGGAGTAAAGAGCGGCAATTGAAGGTACATGTTGGAGTAGGGACCCCAAGTTTCATCCTTCTTTTTGAAATTGAAGTGTGCGGAGGTGACGGCGGAGCAGCAAGGTTGCAGGCGAAGGTCACACGGTAGAGCAGCGATGAGACGACGGGGGTATCGGTGGAGCAACAAGGCAGCCGTCTGATCCTATCCAATTGCTTGTGCGTATTTTCTTGCCAGTAGGGAAGAGTGGGGGCCACAGAAGTGAGGGGGTGGAGGGCATTTTGGGAAAGTCAACTACATTTACACTTTTTCTTAATATGAATGCCCGGTCAAACCGGGAAGTTTAATTGTGGATGGAGGGAGTATAATGTAACTCATGTGCAAATAATTAAAGCTCCCTCATAATTTCGAGCAATAAAATGAACCCCGACACTTTATCGGCTAGCCCCGTTGAACCATCCTCATTAATCTGTCATAGCTATTATACAACTACCATTAACGGATAAAACAATATGATTCTCCCCACATTAGTCTAGATTATCGAAGAAAATTGATTCATCTCCCTACATCAATATTATTCTCCTCTAGCATATTGATTAAAAATATTATTTTTCTTTTCACAGATTAATTAAAAAATATATTAGTGATTCTATTATTACTCTCCTTGCATTACTTACTCCGTATGATTCAAAGAATATGATTCTTCTATCCTGCGTCACTGCATTAAATTTGACTTGCGAAATAAATATTATTCATCTCTCATATATTATATTCATTTTTCTCTCTCGCATTGATTAAAAATATCGGAATGATTCTTCTCTCCCCACATGAATCAAAAAATAAAATCTTAGATTAGCAATCCTATGGTTCAAAAAATAAAAAATAATTAAAAATTCAATGATTCTATTCATTAGCATTATTAGTTAAAAAATGAATAGAAAAAAACGGTAGCGATCCTATGATTTTGGATAGAAATTTACAAAAATATTTGAAAGTTTTTTTTTGTGTTTTTTCTTTTTATTTTAATACAAAATTACTCTTTTTTTTAATTTATTTGATTTAAATATTTGATCATTTTGAAAATAGTCTAGTCGTTTGTAGTATTTTAATGTAGAGATCAAAATGTTTTTATATTTTATTTTATATCAACATTTAAAAAATAAAATCTAAACTAACTTAATTTAACTATTTAAGCGTGTCATAAAAAATATAGAATTTGGAAGGAAGAGAGTATTTTATATCAATATTTGACTTCAAGCGTGTCATTTATAGGTGAAGAGAGTATTTTTATATATTATTCTAAAATTGTGTAATAAATGAAGAGAGAAATATAGAATTTGGAAAGAATATATTATAAAAAGAAATATTTTTCTCATAATTATATTTACGCAAATATTTATTACCAAAATTTTAATTTTATATTATCCATATAAAAATTTATGTGACATATTAGATGTTAGAAAAGACAACATAACATTTTTTTTATTTTTATTCAATTCATAAATTGGGTTGCATAAAAAAGTCACATAAGTAATGACACATATTAGCTTTTAGTCATGCCACATGTTAGTTCTCTAGAACTTGGAGTCTTAAATTTATATATAAAAGATACTCCCTCCGTCCTAATTTATAGTGTCTGTTTTGGTTTACGATGTTTGACTAAAATTATTTTTAAATAATTTTACATGACAAATGGTATAGGGTTAAAAAATAAAAATTACATATTAAAATACTACATCAAAAGATCTACAAAACTAGTAGTGGCAATAGTATTTTATTTTATCAAATTGCTAACGAAAATAGATAAAAAAAAGTGAATGAAGTTTGACCTTGTGAATATTAAACAGGCACTATAAATTGGGACGGAGGGAGTAAAAGATTTCATTTGCATACCTAAATTTATTCAAAGATTTTATGCCAAAGTATTGATTTCACATTTTCTATATTTTAAATTAAGTGACGTATTAGACCATTAAATGTCAAAATAAATATAAAATTTATTTATTGTTGAAGAAAGCAATTTATTTATTAGGTATCAATATTTAAATAAATGTAATCAAAAAATTAATTTTAAGTAAACGTATTACAAACACTAAAAAAAGTTTATTTATAGGTGAAGAAAGTATTTTATATATTATTCTAAAATTTTGTTATAAATAAAGAGAGAAAATATAGAATTTGGATAGAATATTATTATAAAAAGGATTATTCTTGTCATAATTATATTTACTCAAGTATTTATTGCCAAACTTTTAATTTTATATGTTACATACAAAAAATTATGTGACATATTAGGTGTTAGAAAAGGCAACGTAAAAATATTTTTTTTCTTTTATTCAATTCATAAATTGGGTAACATGAAAAAGTCACATTAGTAATGACACATGTTAGCTATTAGTAATGTCACATATCAACTCCTAACAATGTCACATGTCAGCTCTTTAGAATTTGGAGTCTTTAATTTATATATAAAAGATAAAAGATTCATCTCATTCTTTAAAATTTGGAGTTTGGGACAAGTGGATAAGAGCTGGCAAAACGGTCGGTTGGGTCGGGTTCGGGTTCAATCACTTTGGGTTCAGGTTACTTCGGATTCGGATAAGTTCGGGTTCGGATTGAGAGCTACATATTCATGACCTAATGTCATCGGGTTCTGGTCGACCTAACGGGTTAAACTTTCATATATTTTTTGAAATTTTAAGTAATTTTTATGATCGATTGTCAATATTACGAATAAATAAACCAAATATTCAGAAAAATTTGATAAAAAGTAAGATAGTTATGCGATATCATTAAAATTCGGTATGAAAATATAAATCTGTACATTAAAAACGAGTAGTAAGCAAAGAAATATAATTAAAATCTTATTCTTATAGCATTATATTACATATTAAAACATATAATTTGAAAAAACTCTTACATTATCAGGTCGGTCAGCATGGATTTGGGTTCGGGCGGGTTTGACGCATCTTTAACGGGTAATTTTGGGTTCGATTAACTTCGGGTTCGGTCAGTAAAATCTTTGTTCAAACCCATTATTTTCAGATCGAGTCTCGGGTCAAAAATAGGTCAGATCATTTTTTGTCTGGACAACTAAATACTCCCTCCGTCCCTTAATAATGTTCCGTTTTTGACTTTTGGAGAAATTAAGGGAGGGATATTTTAGTGTTGACTTTCCAAAAATACCCTTGATGTGATGTGTAAAAGTAAGATGTGATAGGTAGATTATTAGTAAAAAGGTATGATGTGATAGGTAGGGTATGAAAAAGTAAGGGGTAAAAGGGGTTTTTTAGGGGAAAAGAGAAGTTTATTTAGGGACAAAGAAAAAACGAAAGAGGAACTTTATTTAGGGACGGAGGGAGTACAAACCGAGCAATGCTAAGGCCTAAGGCAAGGAATTTTCTCTAGAACAATTTTGTTCCATGTATAGGAAAAATTCTTTTTTTTTTCTCTCACGGGAAACTCGCCCAAAAACACGGCAAATCGAGAAACCCTAAATAAATTAACCCACAGTTCGTCCGGCGAAGACTCTGTTTGCTACCGAGCGCCACATCTGTCTCTTCTAAGGATCTTCGACTAGTCTACCTTCATCGGCTACGAATCTACGATCCGGGTTCCAGATGGGCGGCGGCGGCGGGAGTGGAGCTGTTGGGGGTGGCATAGCGCTGCAGCAGCCACCGACATCGGAAATGGCTGAGGCGCTTTATGCGGGGGCGAGGTTATCGGTGTGGTGGGACATAGAGAATTGCCAAGTGCCCAAGACGTCCGATCCTCACGCGATCGCGCAGAACATAAGCTCGGCGCTGGTCAAGTTAAACTACTGTGGGCCCGTCTCCATCTCGGCCTATGGTGATACTACCAAGATCTCGTATTCGGTTCAGCAGGCTCTGAATAGCACCGGAATCGCCCTCAACCATGTCCCCGCAGGTATTCTTTTCAAAAATTATTTTCATTTAGTTTTGTGTAGGGTTGAGATTCTACAGAGCATCCAATGTAATGTTTCTTACTGTTAGCAAGAGTTTATGGCCTTTTGCGTGAGGGTTATATCAGATCTGCAGGGATTCTGTTTCCGGAGCTGTCCGAATTGGGCATCTTGTCAGATATCAAGGGTGTGTTTGATTCCGGGTTTTATGAAATACCTGAACGCCCAATGTATCTCAAAATCTGTAAAACTTCAAATTTAAATATCACCGTCTATAATCAAAATCTCAAATATCACTTGGCTATCCACATCCTTCCATACTGCTGACTTTGTGTGGGAGCACGAAAATGAGATCATATTCAAGTGGAAGGTATGTTGGTGAAGTAGGCAGGAACTGCACTACAAGTTAGTATTCTGGCGTGGGAGATCTCGACACTTGAGCTTCAGCCCATCAAGCTATTAGCACTGTTTCAACATGCCAGAATCAGTAGTCATGTGGATTCACTTTGGGCTTTCATAAATCCTGTTTAGACGCCCGAGGTAAAGTTGTTAGGGGGGGATAATGCGCATGTACATAGGAGCCTTGGAGCCTCTGATGTGCATTTGAGACGTGCTCATAACATGAGGAGCATACGACGAATAAAAGAATAATATTTCTGTAATTGTAATGCACACCATGCAAACATATGTTCCACCCGTTCCAAGATGTAGTTTGCCCTTTGACTTATCAGACTTTAAGAGTTAAAGGTCTTTGGCAAAAATTTAAAAGTGAAAGGTGTGTGGTTGACATTTATTTAGAAGAGAAAGTACAAGAGCTAAATATTTATTTCCTAAAAGCAAAAGTGGAAAACTATGAACTTCATTTTGGGACATCTAAAAAGTAAAAGTGGGAATTTATTCTGGGATAGAAGGAGTACAACATAGAATACACAAACGAAATAGGATCATTTGCACACAGTGGCAACATAGATTCTTGAATACAAATAAAAACACCATTTATGGAAATAAAATCCATATAAATAATTAAATCTCATAGAATCAGTATACAACAAACATTTTTCAAAAAAAAAACTTGAAAACCAATCTATAAATAAAGGAGAGGTCGGATGTGCTATACCTTGTGCATTCAAGAACAGAGCCTCATCAGGATTTCAGATGCAATATTCCTTGTGCGTCATGCAAGGATAATGGGTATATTTGTCCAGTCAAAATTAGTTCGCCTCCCATCTTGAACCAAAAAAGAATATTTGAAGGACCTCCCCTGATCCTCTCACCTACAATCAGAGGAAGCCTAACTTTCTTCTCGTGCCTCTCGTCCCCTCACATACAATCGAAGGAGGCCTAACACTCTTCTTGTACCTCTCATCCCCTCCCTTTGATCAACATCCCCTCCAAACCAAACATAGCGTAAATGTTAATTTCCATGCATCCTCCCCTGTAGCTAGGTATTGGTGACTACTGAATATTGGTGGTATTTAATTCTCAAAGGTATTATGTGTTATATATATTTATTATTTATTATTTATTTTATCAGTGGAGAGGGGGGGGGGGGTGGGGTGGGGTTGCTGTCTTAGTCTGTTTGCTATGAGTTTATGACATGACTTGACATCTGATTTCAAATCTTCCCTATTTGAAAATGCACTGCTTGTTCTTTCCATTAGTATTCTCCTTGGTGGATTTGAAACCATGCCACANCAAACCAAACATAGCGTAAATGTTAATTTCCATGCATCCTCCCCTGTAGCTAGGTATTGGTGACTACTGAATATTAATGGTATTTATTTCTCAAAGGTATTGATGCGTTATATATATATATATTTATTATTTATTTTATCAGTGGGGAGGGGTGGGGTTTCTGTCTTAGTCTGTTTATTATGAGTTTATGACATGACTTGACATCTGATTTCAAATCTTCCCTATTTGAAAATGCACTGCTTGTTCTTTCCATTAGTATTCTCCTTGGTGGATTTGAAACTATGCCACAAATCCTACAATGCCTCCTGGATTTGGTTTGTAAACGTTGCATTCCATATTGAATTTGGTACATATTGTATGTGATTCTTTGCACATTACCTAAGTCAAATAGAGCAGCATGATCTAAATCTAAAACACCAAGTCACCATTGGGTTTTGTGCATGTTACGTTCATACAATTGTGAAATAGTTTAATGTGTTTGTTTCTAACATATTTATACTCAAAATGTTGGCCGTCCTAGGATGCCATTATACTTGTCTTCATCTATATATTTATTTGTTACAAAAAATGTAACAACTATTTTTTTCATTGACTTAAAAGGTGTCAAAGATGCTAGTGATAAGAAGATTTTAGTGGACATGTTATTCTGGGCAGTTGACAATCCGGCACCTGCTAATTATTTGTTGATATCTGGGGATCGAGATTTTTCTAATGCTCTCCACCAGTTGCGAATGCGTAGATACAACATTCTTCTAGCACAACCTCAAAAAGCATCCGCAGCACTTGTCGCTGCCGCAAAGACTGTATGGCTTTGGACCAGTCTTTCAGACGGCGGCTTTCCTCTTAGCAACAGCGAATCAAAACAATTTGTAGATAACAGCAAGGGAAGCCTTTCCATTTGTGACACATCAGCAACACCAGTAGTTAATACTAGTCAGCTCAACCAGTCTGGTGATACAGTAGATGAAAGTGTCTACCCTGGGAGTCAGAAGTTTTCCAACTTAGGTAAGAGTCCAGACAGTAAATGTAAAATCAAACAAGTACGAAGAAACACGGCTCAACCTATAATTCCCCAAACGTCAAGTACCATCGCGGGGCACCAAGAAGATTACAATAGCTTGAACTTTCAACAATCACATGGGTACACTAAGCAGTTTAATGATTTGTCAGAGTTATCTATGGCTCACAGTTCACGAATTCCCTTTACTGGTCCTGGACCAGCTCCAAGTATCAATTACTATGAACCTTCCCGGATGAATGGAAGTAACCCTTTGAGTTTGGGTCCTCATCAAAATTACTATAGCCTACCAGTTAGGCCTAATATTTTGCCTATGCAACCACCACAGCCACCCTATCATTTATTACCACCTAATCCATATGTGCGAGCTCCACATATGATGACTCCTATGCCTGATATACCCCATATGACCCCGGGTCCATCCAGTTTACCTGACATTGGTAAGCTAAAGGTTAGTGACAATAGAAACAACCCCCCTTTTCGTCAACCAAAGAATGGAGAGGTCAGGCAAACTTCCACAATGAATTCATCTCGACACATGAACACTAATGGATCTCAGAAAGGACATAAGTTGAAAAAAAACCCAGCAGTTCACAATGAGAAGGAAACAAACAGGTACCCACTTTCTAGGAAAGAGATCCCTCAAGCACCCCCATCTGCAAGTGGAAGCAGCGTATTCAATGGCAGTGTACGGGGGAACGCGACAGCCTCAAATCCATCTGACTATGTTCAGAGTCTTATAAGAGTTATTTGTCTTGCACTGGAAACATTAAAAAATGAGAAAATAATGCCAACCGAAGCAAACATTGTGGATTGTATTCGCTATGGAGAATCAAATCACCATGATACTGATGTCAAGAAAGCTCTTGAAAGTGCAGTTGAACACCAAACAGTAGTAAAGCAAAATTTAGGTGCATTGGAATTATATGTTTTTAAGACAGAGAACTTGTGGAAGTGTGAAAATCCTATAAGTGAAAAACTAGACAAGTATACAAAAGAAATTTGGGATGAAATCCAGAAGTTTCTATCATCTCCTACTGGGAAATCTGCTCTATTGGCTACTCAATGCAGGTACAGGGTTAATCTACCAATTTCTGTCAAGTAACATGTCCGCTGTCATTTCATTTCTTCACTTTTAATTTTCATAAAATGACTTGTTTGTTATTTCATACTTGATACAATGCACTTTATTTTGAGCATGATTATATCTATCGTTCTTTGCTTTTCTCAAGGTATGAAGCAGCTACTGTTATAAAGAAAATGTGCTTACATAAGCTTGCTTTGGGTGAAATACTTCAGATCCTGCACATGGTTATCAAAACAAAGAAATGGATCATACCTCATAACTCAGGTTGGCAACCTATCAGGATTGCTCTTGCAGAGACTAACTCTGGTTCAGAGTTGGTAACTGCAACACAACTCTCTCAGTAACTGATTATTGATGGGAAGGACTTCTAGGTAGTTTATGGCTACATCTCTAGATTCTAGTAGCTGGAGGTGTAGTACGGTAAAACTTGGTCCTTTCCCCGTACCTTGTACAAGGTTATTTATATATTTTGAATTGTTAAATTAGGAAATAGGTTAGGTGTATAATGTATCGTCTGCTTTTGTTTCTTATCTGTTAAGAGCTATCTAGTCAAAGGTTCTTTAACAAAAGAATCCACCAGAGGTTGTGGGTTTGCTTTTTGCACAACATTTCTGAAGATCAGAATGTTCCCATTTTGCTGTTGGGTCTTTGGCTCTCTCTATCATAGCCGTGAAAATTGAACATTGGCACTTGGTAGTGGGCACTTGGTGCTGCCAGTTTCAATCCAATTGATCCATATCTACACAGCTTTGGCCTCTGCAATATACATCAGTAAGTTACAAATTATCCTGAACTTTGAGTGAAAGAGCTCTTTGCACAGCATGAAGTCTGGGAGAATGAACTCTTTGCAGAACTTATTTTGAGGATGTATTGTAGTTGGTTTCTCGAGTTCATAGTTTGGATCCCCTTTGATGGTGGGTCTTTTATTTCTCTTTCATACCCTGGAACATTGAACATTGGTGCTCGATGCTGCTGGTTTCTATCCAATTGATCTATTGCTACACTTCTTCATCTGTGGAAAATACGAAAATACATCAGTGTGTTGAAGTTCATGAGTTCTAGGAGAAAGAGCTCTGTATTTGAACATATTGAGAGATGGCATCATAGTTGGTTTCCTTTCTCAATTGCGTATATTCCAAAGCAATTCATGCCCTGAGCTGATCATGGAATGTTGTCAAACATTTGAACTTTTTGGGTGTTTATTGAGTATGGAAATGTTAGAAACTATTATGTGGAGTTTGAAATAGTGTTATGTTGTTATTTATGGTCTGAGTTTCAAATTGAGCCAAGAGAAGGAAGAACACTACTATTTTATCAGACATGAGATGTTGGAAGCTACTCCGTATAATAGATGACTATGCAAAAGGATTTGAAGAAACAGCTTCTAGTCAATGGTTCAATTAAATTAACATTCAAGCATCAAGTAAGCGTATGTTACAAGGGTAAGTGTACTTTTATGGCACAATTATTGCCAAGCATGTTATACTTTATCCATAGTTATAAGAGTTAATTTGTTAGCTATTGCTATGTTGTCTTTTTTATGTCTTTTGTACTTGAGTTAGGGTCTTTAAGAACCAACCTCTGCCATATCTAGGCAGGGGTATGGTCTGGGTACATGCATGCGGCATCCCCCCCCCCACCCCACCCCACCCCACTGGTGGGTTGGTTGTTGCTATACCGTCCTTTACCTGTTCTTTCAAGGCTAATTAATTTGAAGCTGTTTTCCTATCTGAATTTTTGCACTGCTGATTGCAATACATATGTACCTTTGAGAATTAAGGAGTAATTGGAATGACAATCATGTGATCCTCAAGTCCATTTTTATTAATGATATGCTGCTCATTTTCACAGGCTCAAAACTCTTTTAATTGCTCCCTTCCGAAGATTCCTAAGCATTCCTGCTATCAGCTGATATTAATCAAAAGTTGATAAAATGTACTCTTGGACGGAATGAGCTTTGTTTCTCTGGACAAACTTTTATAGCCACATATTCAGAATCCTCTCACACTTTCGTGACAATCAAAAGTTAACTCTACAGATGAACTTCACCATGAGAGATTATTTGGGCCGTAACATATCTAAATTTAGATGACATTTCCAAGAAACTATTGGAGCGTATCATATCTCCCATTGCGATGGCAAATGAATATATACTCCATGAGTTTTCAAAACCAAAGATCAAGAGCTTGGTCGCTTGAATGAAGTACAACAATAATTCTCTTTGTAATCTTTTGGATGAGGGTAACACATAGGCTTGCCTTGTCTGGTACATGCCTCTACACGAAGCTCCTCTCTTCTATGAGTTGGGGCTTCAATATTTTGCACTTCAATTCACATGCCTTAACAATGGATCGATCTGGACCGCAGTTCAATATACCAAGTCCAGAACGGGTGCTCTTTCCAATCATCCAAATGTTCAACCGTTCATCCCGGGTATCAACAAATGGATGGTGAAGAACAGTGTTTCATTTCTGGGAAATGGTGAACTTGCCTGCAGAGGTGAGTGATACCACTTCAGAATGTTGTGAAGCAACACAAAAGCAAATGCGAACCCTTGCAGTGTGCATGATGAGGTTCAATGCCAAACCCTGGTTTGCTGTGTATTCATGTCATAATTTATTGATATTAAATATTTCTGATTTCTTCAACATATGATTTTATATTAAAGACGCACAGATTGAATGAAGGTGCCTTTTAAGATTGATCTTCCCAAATTAGATTTGAAATCATGTTTATTACAATTTTATCTTTAATGGGAGCACATATTTAGTTTTTGGAACAGATACTGAGTTGAATAGAGTAGCAATTCTTAGGCTAGACTCCATTGATTTATTTGGACTATAAGTGCGATCCCAAGTTGAGTCCAATACACTATGTCCTAATAAGTCACTCTTATACTAGGTTTGGTTCAAGGAATTTGAAATGGAAAAGAAAAGAAAATGAGATGGAAAATAGTTTTTCTTGTTTGGATAGAGAGAAAAAGAAAAGAGAAGGGGAAGGAAAAGGAAATGGGAAAGACAAGAGGAAAGATCAAATTTCTTCCATTTTGGTGAGCAAAATGAGAGAAATATTTTTTTTCTTTTCCCGTCCAAATTTTTTGAACCAAATGTAGTGTTAGAGATTACTCTATATATTCTGAGAGAGTAAACTACTCTCATGCCAGAGTCATTTGCGTACTTTAATGGTATGTTTGGGAACATGGATTTGAATTTCAAGTATGAATTTGGCTCAAATTCCATGTTAGGGAAACTTAGGGTCCGTTTGGTATACGGAATTGATGGAATTGGAATTGAATTGGAATTAAAATTCCATGGGATTCAATTCCATAAAATTGAATTCATTAATTCCAATTCATTTTTTGCACTACAAATTCGAAATCCACATAATTTTTGTACTACCAAACACCAGAATTGGAATTGAAAACTTCAATTCCAATTCCATAATTTGAATTCTGTGTACCAAATAGGGCCTTAAAAATTTTGAATTTGGATTTGAGTCAAATTCTTCTCATTCATAACAAAGCTTAATTTGAAATTAGCGCGTCGATCAAATCGGGTTCAGTTAATTTTGACTCATTTTTTAGCGGGTCATTTTGAATTCGGTCAAGTTTGGATTTGGTCAACAAAACCTTGTTCAAAATCCAGTATTTTCGAGTCAGGTTTTGGAATAAAAATATGTCGGGTTATTTTTTGCCAGGTCTCGTTACAACAGTCCCAATGTGATATCGGTGTCGGTCATTTAAAAGAGATATCTAATAGAGGTTATTTGAAAGAGTTTCTATTTCGCTGGATTTGAATTCAAAAATCTTTTTTCAATTCATCGAACTCAAAAATTAAAAATTTGATATCCCAAGATATCGAAACTCATACTACCTCCGTCCTAGAGTATTTGTCCACTTTCATTTTTGCACACCATCCAATACATTTCTTTAATCCATTTTATCTTGTAATTTGTATATTAAAAAATTATAGAAATTATATATTAATAATCTATATATTAAGACAAATCAAACAAGATCACACATAAGTATATTTAGGCTTACACATTGAGAGAATTTGATGAGTCAAAGTGCTTAGATGAACAGTTCCAAAAGTCCAAACTAGACGAATATAGTGGGACGGAGGGAATATCTTTTTTCACCAAAGAGGCCCTTTGTAATTTATTTCTTGGGAGTTTGCTTGTTTGAAGATTGAAATGTTCATTCTTAAAGTTGAAGATGGGATATTTTAGTTTGAATACAATAGTAATTTTAACTAAAATTTGAAAATGCTCCGCAGAAGTAAATTCTGAGAGTTGAAGATTGGATACTTTGGAATGAATACAATAGTAATTCTGATTGAAATATACTCCAATCAATATCTTCTCGAATAGTGTTTGAGTTGAATCGAAAATATAGAGAGACGCATAAAACTTAAACCCGACCAAGAACCAAATACTAGAAATAGATCTGAACAGGAATCGAACCGATTGATTCGATTGTCATGTCTATAAAAGATATCAAATTTGTCGTACACTTAAAAACACAGTAAGATGCACTAAAAAATATGTTAAAATGTTCATATACGCTGATGAAGCACATTAAGATCCAGCATTCATTAGGCACAAATCTCTCTTGAACAACAAAGATGAGCTCCATCTATGAGTATCTCAAGACCGACCTAACAATAATCTGTGAGGATATTAATGTCATGATAACCTCCCCGCAAAATAAGGGACTCACAGTATAGAGAAGTAGTGGAGGTCGGAGGAGAGATATGAACTCAAACTTAGAGGGGCGTATTCAATTAGGATTTTATTAGATTTTTTAGATTTCAAAAGTTAGTGGATCTGAAAAATATGTAGAATCCATGTAGAGTTTGGCTGATTTTTTATAGAATCCATGTAGAGTTTAAAAAATTCGTAGAAACCATGCAGAGTTTGAAACCATTTTTTGTAGAATCCAAACATCACTTCTATTTGAAAGTCCAACAGTGATGTCGATCACCGTACAACCACAGTAAGAAACGAACAACGCTGGTGGATGACGGGACGACGCATGTGGACAGGCGAACGAAAAACTCGCGAAGGGATGTAGGGACGGACGGACGCTGGATGATGAATGGATGAAAGTCCATAGAAATCTAGGGTTGTGAGAAAAGATTTCCATGAATGAAAATGTAAGCATTGTTTGAGAGAATCCAACAAAATCCATAGACTTTAAAGTTCATAGACTCTTGAATACCTCAAAATTTTTAAAATCCAAGTTGAATACTTCAATATTTTTAAGAACTTTGGAAAATCACTATTGAATACCTCAATATTTTTAAAGACTTTTGAAAATCCAGATTGAATACACTCAGATTTTAAAAATATAAAAAAAATCCTAACGACTCCCGATTCAATACACCCCCTTAGTTTTGGACTCCCCCTATTTCAACAATTATTTGTGGAGTCATTAAATGTTTCTCACGCATTACTCTGGAATAACCATTTTTTCTTAAATCAGATCTTAATAAATTTGAAGGAGGCCTCAGGTTAAATCAGATCTTAATAAATTTAAATTAGAACCAACTAGATCTAGACGAAGAGAATAGATTCTAACTCCCTCAAGGTAAGGTCCATTTGGAAAGCAGTAATCTTCAAGGAAGAAAAAAAAAGGAAGCTAAGACAATAATCTTCAAGGGAAAAAAGGAAGCCGCAATTCTACTTAGGGTCGTACATAGAATTGATGGAATTAGAATTGAATTAAAATTAAAATTTTAAGGAATTGAATTGGATGAAATTGAATTGTCCAATTTCTATTCATTTTTTGCACTACTAATTCCAAATCCATATATTTTTGTGATATCAAACAATAGAACTGCAATTCCAATTCCATGTACCAAATAGAGCCTTAATGTTTTCTTTCCTCATCCCTTTCTAAAAATTCATTCTTTAGAGGAAAAAAAGGGTCGCATCCCTAAATTTACCAAATGCAACCTACCACTAAAGGATCTAGGAATGCTATAAATGACCGAATACTTCCTCCATGCTTGTTCCATTGCTTTTTGCATACCAGTTTAATAGAGGTAAAATAGCATGGTTAAAATTTGAGCAGAGGAGAGAATGAAATGAAACCAAACAATTGTTTACTTAAAAGGAATTGGGAACCTTAGTAAGAAACATCCACAAACAAAAAGTGGAAAGATAAAGAAGGGGCAGAGGGAGTAATAAGAAAGATCATACTCCCTTTATGTGTCCACAAGAAGATAACTTAATGAAGTACAGCAACCCCTTTGACTCAAGTATGATGAAATTATACAACAATATGAATGTACACATGAATGACATATCTTCTTGGCTTCTCTCCTTTGGGTAGTAAAGCCTTCATCATATGTTACATCTTAAATCTTAATCTCAACCCTGCAAAAGCATGTTATCCACTTTTTTGCAGTGAAGCTTTACTTGAAGAAAAAATAATCTGATACAATAGAAATGATATTAAAATGCATTTACCACTATTCTTCATATCCATCAATTCATACTAGTATTAACTAATTTTAGAAAATTGATTTGAGAGTGGGAGTGTTAGAAAGGAATTACGGTTTTACCTTTGCTTTTGAGGCATATCAGCTGAATTTCCGATAACCAACCGGTATTCCAGTACAATTACTTTTTTTTATATTATAACTTTTAACATGAAATTTTTATAATTTCAATGTAAAATATAAAATCTTATTCTAAATTCTCTACATCACTTGAAGCATTTTAAACATCGAATTTTATATAATGCATTAAATGTATATTGGTACATACAACCAAATCAGTGAGTTTAATTTTATGGTGTTATTCTAATCTGATTTGCTCCTTGTGAATATTTGCTTATTGATCATATGTTTTTATAGTAATACATATGCCTTAAAGTATTAATTATTTAGTATTTTCAATTCATTTGGCCGAAGGTGTACCCTTATTTTAAGACCCAATGCGAGAAATCTAGTATCGGTACGGTACATACTAATCTAATTCAAAATTGAGACGGAGGCCGGTACGGTATTTATAACCTTGAGTAAAAGTTAAAGTAGCAGTTTTTGCAAGTTTAGGTTTAATTTTCTATTTAATCAAGTTCGAGTGTTGGCAACCCAAAAATTCTAAAGCGATTAGCTTATGAGTAAAATATATAATTAGCCGTAAACAGTAGTGCAAAAATTTAAGTGAGGACAAAGCTGTAAAACTGCTTGAAATAAGTAAAATATGCATATAGTTAGGCGGATAGACTCTTGCTTTTAGTTGTTCCAAAAAGTGTTTATATAACCCATTTCCCATTACCAAACACCAAAGTTATAGAAATATTTAAAATAAGCAATATGCAGAAATTTAAATTCACCAACCAGAGCATGGTTGGGATTTATGTGATGATGATAAAGCAGAAATTTTTTTATACATGAAATAGCAAATTAGGGAAATCATGCAAGTGTAGTTAACTGACCTTGATGGAGAACCATCCATAAATTGGTTCTTTAGATTAATGACAGTTATGAAGAGACTGATGAAATGCTCCATACATATCTTTCAGCAGCAGCAGTGGATGACAGATATTCTAGCTTTGAGGACCAGATTTGAAAAGGCCCAATGTGTCTCAATCATGTTGATGCAACATGAATGGAAGTGCTATGAGCCTTCATGATTTTCTTGCAAAAGAGCTGCCCTTTCAGGGTTCATTAACATGAGATGCTGAATGTCATGGGAGAGAACACTGAATACTGCTTGGAGATCCTTCTTTAACTTCTGACAAGTGGCACCAGACTCTGCATCAGTGCTCCTGGAATGCTGTTGCAAAGAGATTCTCTTGAATGAAACAGAACATAGAACGGATATTATTGACTCAATGGAAACTGATAATAACAAACGCAAACACTGGTGGGAGTGGTGGGTGAATTGGGTGCAATGCAAGTACAAAATGCCAAGCCTCATTTTTTGGTTGCATGATTTACATCATGAAGGAATCGTTCCAACGTCTAACATACAAGTATAAAATGCCAAGCCTCGAGCTTGGACAGCTGACAAAGGTTCAATAGAAAATTTATTTCTTGATTACTTAAAGATAAATGAGCCCATGGAATTCTTGAATAATTAATGATAACAAAAAAATACTCCTCCGTCCCAAAAACCACATTTCATTTTTATGAAGTTTTTTGTTTTTAACTTTCAAAAATGCCCTAGTTATATATGTTTGAGGATAATTGATGGTAGTAGTTGAAGATATTATTCCCTATAACTGTATTTACATTTTCACTTCAGGGTGTTTAAGAGAAAAACGAAAGGTGTGTGGTTGAAATTTTATTAAAAGAGAGAAATTAGAAGAGTCACATATTCATTTCCTAAAAGGGAAAATGGAAAAGTGTAAACCTCATTTGGGACATCCAAAAAAAAGTGTAAACTTCATTTTGGGATGAAGAGAGTAATGAAGATAGTAAATAAAGATTTTGACTTTAACCAATTAAGGAAAGATATATTGCTATGGGGACCAACAAAAAGGAAAACAAGAATTTATTTAGGAGGGAGGAAATACATGGCAGTCTTTCACTCTCCCCTTAAGAGCAGAAAACACTTGCCTGCATCTCCCTGATAAAATTTCTTTCAATTGCATTGTAAGTATCAACAATCTCCAACTCAGACATTGGAGATATTATTTGTTTTATGTCAACCTTCACTCTTGCTTGCCTCCATAACCTATACTGTTCGTGTTCAGCAACAGCACGCTTCCTTTGAAACCAGGGAATAAAGTTATGCCCCTTCATAAACCTCCTACAATATATACGCGTAAATAACATCTCAATATATGCTAAAGGAAGTTGTCTCTAATTACATTAACTAACAACGGAGTGTTATTAGTAATGAAAAATATTATCATATTTAAGCAAGTGAACTAGAAATAAATGGAAGTCTTTTAGTGGTGACGTGTGTGACTACATCCAAAACCTGCCACAATAAGTAAAAGATAAATCAATTGCCTGTATAGGTCAAGCCAGTTTGAAGTCATCCTCTTCAGTAGAAATTTTCCAGGACCTCTCGCTGATAAGACTGAAAGAAATTCTTCAACATTGAACGAGGGAAGGGGAGGAGGATCAATAAATGGAGATGATCCTTCAGAAGGAGTGGTCACTGTGAAATACGGAGCAAATGGAGCCAAAAAGTTGGTGGTGAGCTCCAAGAAATGGCGGCGCAATATCTCATTGTTAACAACTGACATTGATTCCTCTACCCGCGGGGACATTCCTGCATCAATCAACCTGTTCAAGATTGAAGTGTCTGGTTTTGTGATGGCATTGTATGTGGTCCAAATGGCTTCTTTGTGCTCAGTCATGAGACAGAGGGGACCGTCCCTCCTCATCTTCACGGCATTCAAAAAATTCAATGGTGTAAACTTCCTCAAGTTAAGCCCTGGAGATGATCTATTGCCAAGTGAAACTCGGTTTGAGTTGGGTGTAGGGCTTCCAACTGAGACAATGTGAGGGATATTGCGAAGGGCTTTTAAGAAAAAAAGGTTGGTGACACCCAAAACCATTGGAGGAAAAGTAGCGCCCTCGGGAAGTGAGTTTAAATGAGCAAACTCTGCATCATGGATGGTAAAATAAGGCCGAAAATCAATACTACAGAGAAGTGGCGCAACCAAACTAACTAGACCAGCAACTGCTTCACAACACTGAGGAGGGGTGGGAGCAATGATAAGAAGAGGCTCTCCAATAAGTAGCAATTCCCACAATTTCCACATCTGCATCAAGAGCCCTCTAAATATTCCAAACAGATCCGAATCATGAAAAAGGCCATTTGGAACTGAATGGTTGGAAGGCTGCAGAAAAGGAGCAACTGAAGAGGCCAACTCTTCAAGGAATACTCCACAATCTAACGGTAAACAATGGGCAGGCGGCAAGTGCACCTTTAGGGTAGCATTCCCGATGGGGAGTTCCATCAACTCACCAGGTACAGGAGCAGGCCACGTCGACACATATGAAGCAACATAATGGAGGGCTTTCTCTCCAATATCGAAATAAAGGGGCCCCACTATTTGTAACAAAGGTCTAAACACACCCAAAAATGGACTGTGTGAAAGAATTACCACCGATTTTTGCTCACCCCCACGCTTCAGCCTCTCATCATGCCTCTGTCTGTTAAATACAAAACCATACAAATATCTTGGTTCAATGACATTGTTACTTCTCGCACTAGTTTTAGAGAACTCGCCACCAAGCGGCTTCTTGAATGCTAGAGCTCTGTCAGCTCCAACAATCTCAGACGATAACTGAGACTTCTGCTGCCTACGGAAGCGGAAGAAAAAGATAGAATCGTGGATGCTTGAGCGATTATGACTTTGAGAAACAGAATCTGGAAAGGAACTAAAAGAAACATCAAGCTCCTCACTCTGGGTCAAAGAACCTGGTGGGTAGCACTCTTCAATGAGTTGTCCTTGTTCAAGATCGAACCTAATGATGCAAAAGGAGATAACCCATTGTTGCAGTGCTTTTTCGTCTACTTTCAGATTTGGCTCTGACTTCACTGAATTGACTGAAAACGACGGAGATCTGCTCATTTCAAATGATTCGATTCCTCAAAACAAATCAGATAACCACCTTTTCACAAACGTCGAAAACCTAGCTACTAATTGCAACATGTTCCCAAAAAATAAAGGTCTCCCGCCAAATGATAAAAATTGACAAGAAATGTGAAGCACCGGCACGCCAAATCTTAGGAGCAATTGCGCGTCGAACGGATGCATGGAAGCCTCAAACGCGTCTCCGTCTGCCTGATTGAGATCGGAGACGAGTCCGGATACGATAAGGATATGCAAAGGCTTAGGGGGGCGAGTTTGGAGTGGAGTTTTGTTTCCGGCGGAACTCCGGGAGGGGCGAGATGTTGCGCAGTACGCGTGGCTGGGTCGAGTGCGCGCCGGACGGTGGGAGTCAGGGCGCCGGGAACGGGTTGGAAGAGGAAAATCCGGTGGTGGTGCCCGGATGCAGGGGGTTGAGGAGCTTTTGGAGGGAGGCGGATCTGTGGGAACGCTGTTTCTTTCGGATCTTTCTGATCTCCTTGCACGGAAAACGGAAAGAATATTTTTTGATATTTTAAAAATATCATCCATTGAAAAAATGAAATATATATATATATATATATATATATATATATATATATATATATATATATATATATATATATATATATATATATATTAAAGTTTTATTAAGAGAGTTGAAAACACACGTTCGGGGAGGACTAGACCGAAGCCCCGAAAGAAGGAATGAAAACAAAACACATAACTGCCCCATACAACATCAATGCCAAACCTACATGTTCTTGCCTGACTTAAACCTCCCCGCGTTCAGCAGTCACTTAAGCCGATGGCTTCCTGCCCAGTAGTTTTCATCATTCCCGTTCTACCTTTAAGATTTTGAGCCCAACCAAACTAAACAGGAAAAGTGGAATTTCTTCCAGTCCTCCAATAGGTATTGAGCCCCCAGCCGTTGAAGTCAGCATCATGGCACATCCATTTTTTGTTGCGGTTCACCCAGCACCATCCTTGGAGAAGTTTGAAGCATTGTTGAATAACACCCTCTATTGTGGATGCTTTATCTTCATAGATGTATACATTCCTAGCTTTCCAAAGGCACCAAGAAATGATCCCTGGCATGATAAGCCTAACACACCCCTTGAAGCTTTTTGTGTTGCCTGAGATCCACCACAAAAGGAGGTTTTGCTTAAAGGTGAGTGGAGTTGCAATCCAAGGTCCAGCTGCCAGATGATTGAAGTAGTCCCAAATATTTTTGCTAAAGTAGC